ATAAAGACATCCAAAAGGCTGCAAGTGGATTTAGGGTTAACTAATAAGCTCAATTAGTTTGTTTTCAGGGTCTCTGGGAGGGAGATTTCCTGAACAATGTTATGATAATAGTATCTAGTGAATATATAGCAAATTGCTGAAAAGAAGTTGATTATAGCCTTGTCCGCTAAGTAAGAAACATTAGTATGGCAAACAGGGTAGGTTTTTAGAGATGTGTGTACATGTATAGGTATTGCTAGGGGGTAAAATGGATGAATCTTTGTTTCTGATGCTTCCAGTCAGATTGCTTAAATAGTTCTTGTATAATATGGTTTGTGTCTTTCTTTTGCATAATAATCTTATTATTCCACTGTTAGAAGTATGTTAGTAGCCTCTTTGGTTGGCCACCACTGTAAACCAAAAGGACAATAAAGCTTGCGGTCTATCAAACCACAGTTCACTGTAGCATTTGATTTGTGTAGAATTACCATCAGCTGGTATCATATCAAAATCTGTTAAGTTTGCCTTACTGTAACCATTTGAAATCTGTCATCCCAGAACTCTTCATTTCAGCAGGTTTATGTTGAAATGTTGGGAATTTTTGCAATATGTTTGCATTCTACAAAGGGCAATTACTTCAGTGCCATTCACAGGTACTGAAAAGGTCCACGCCAACATTCAGCAAAAAAAAATGGACAACATTCAGACTTGGCCTGATAAATGGCAAGTAACATTTGCATCACACAGGTGCAACTACCACACAGTGACCACCTCCCCTTGTTCATTGGCAGCTGAACCCCAGATTATTGATCATGGGGAATTAGATTATTTATCATTGTCCAGAGCCTGAACTGGACCAGCCATGCACAAACTGTAGAAGAGTAGGTCAGAAGCTGGAGATTCTGCCATAAGCAACTTTTCTCTTGACTCTACAAAACCTGTCCACCATCTATAAGGTCAGGAATACGATATACTGAGTGAAAATCCTAAAATTCCCATCCTACCTCCCCAAGGAGCAGGAGGTATTTCTGAATCATGTGGACTGCAACTATTGAGGAAGGTGGCTCACCACCACCTTGTGGGCAATCAGGGATAGGCATTAAATACTGCCCCTACCAGCAGTACCCATTCCTGTGAAAGCATTAAAAAAAGGAGCCTGTTTCTAAAAGTTGCAAATTTACTTCCACATATCAACAAAGCAGAAGTTAACAGGTTCAAGAAAGTTTACACTGTCGCTAAAAAACAGAAACCTGGCGAATTGCTTTGTTACTAAACTTGACATGAACCAAGTAGTTATAGTGAGGGAGGGAGCATTTAGTCATATTGATCCAGCTAGCCCTCATGGTGTGAGAAAGTCTTGATGGGCTAGTTGATCTTTTCCTGTCACAGGATGTCACACTGATGTTCTATAGTTGCTGCCTTTATCGGGTTTTGGTCAGGCCACTGTCAGTGACAACAAGGGCTGAGTTTTAAATTCTCCCACCCTTAACAGGTTTGAATGTAGTGGGCTTGGGGGCATGTGTGGGGGAAAAGAGGGAGAAAGTTTAAAAACGGCCTGCAAAGGGTCTTCCTACCTCCTAGCCACCCACACATTAAACGCCTGGAATTTAGGGTAGGGAAAGGGGCAGAGCTGGTTTCAGGAGGCTTGCCTTCCTTAAAGTCCGGAAGTGGCCAGTTAATTGCCCCAGATCCCAGGAACAATACCTATTGTTGCAAATGGCAGGGGTCCAGGGGCCAAACCTGCAGATATGATAAGCATGTAATGAAGTAGGGGGAAGGGTTTGATCTATGGGGGAGACTGAATAGGCTGGAGCTATTTTCCCTGGAACGTTGGAGGCTGAGGGGAGACCTTAAAGGTTTATAAAATCATGAGGGGCTATTAGCTAACTTCTCACCCTTTCACTTGAAACTTTCTCATGTCAAGTATCCCAAGTTCATACTGCTACTTTTCTCCATCACTTGATAATTTTCACTGCTGACATTTGTTGATCGCATATGCTACACTTTTTGTTCCTTAATCCAGTCAGCGTTGCTTTTTTTGTCACCAGTTTCACTTACCTTTCCAGTGATTTCAAGTTGCCACTCTATTCCCCCTCTTACGCCCACCTGACATTTCTCTATTTCACACCAGCAATTTTTATACTCCAACCTATACAATCCATCTGACACTGGCATTCTTCTTTCTTCCATGCTCAAAAGCACTTTCCTTCCTTTGCTCCTTCCCCCTTCCCCCTCAATATTGTCCAGCCTTTCCTTGTCCTTCAGTGTTATCCTTTCTCCTTTTCTCAGTGCTGCTCATACTCGCATGCTGCCATGGAGGGATTCTGTTAATTGGATACTTCAGTAAATTATTATTCTCAAGAATTCTTACCCATTGTATACAAGAATCACCAAAGCCAGTCTTGGTTGGAATGCAATAAGAACTTCCTGACTTTGGCCACAAGCACTGATATGTGGGTCCTCTGCCCGCACTGATATGTGGGTCCTCTGCCCACACCGAATATCATACCTTGTGTTATTCAATTTAGAGATTTTAGTTGTCAAACCACAGAACGGTTATAACCTGGGAGAAGAACATTCAGTTGCCAGCTGTGCTAACTTTCTGGAAGTGTAATTTAACTGGTGCCATTCTTTAACCGCCTTCCCTTAGCCCTATCATTGTTTCACAGTTCCAGGTTTAGAATAAGCCTAACTTATATTCAGAATTAGACAATATTGCACTTTCAGGTCAGATTTTTAAAATTTTAAATGTAGGAACTATTTTTGTTTTATGCAGTAGTTCAATTTATTTTGATCTAGCAGCATGGGTGAATGCCAATCCTTAGTTATTTAGTTTGTGAAGGGTTGTGGTTGTTTCTCATTCTGTAGATCATTCAATTACTATATTAAGACCTTTATCTGTTTGTGAACTCTGATATTCTGCATTACTCTTCTGATGTCAGCAACAGAGAATGTGATGGAGAGACAGCATAGCTAGATGGCTAGCACCCAGGTCTCTGATGCTGTGGAGCCAACTGCTGGGGCATAGTGCCTCAGGATTTCCTGTTCCCTTCAACTTTACTGCTCACTATTTCAGTAGATTCTCTTCATTGCAGATAAGTAAGTCCTCATGTTGGAAATGCATTGGAGAGAGTGCAGAAGGAATTTACAAGAATGGTTCCAGTACTTTGTGTGGGAAATGGTGTCTCACTAACTTGATGGAGATTTTTGAAGAAATAACAGGATTGATGAGGTCAGAGCGGTGGATTGATCTATATGGCCTGTGCTGTGTTTCTCTGTAACTTCAGTAATGCGTTCAATAAGGTTTCTCATGGTAGACTGGTTAGCAAGGTTAGATCACATGGAAGAGAGGGAGAGCTAGCCATTTGGACACAGAACTGCTCCAAGGTAGAACACACGGTGGTGATGGAGGGTTGCTTTTCAGACTGGAGGCCTGTGACCAGCAGTGTGCCACAAGAACTGTTGCTGGGTCCACTGCTTTTTGTCATTTATATAAATGATTTGGATGTGAACATAGGAGGTGTGGTTAGCAAACCTGCAGATGACACAAAATTGGAGGTGTAGTGGACAGTGAAGAAGGTTACCTCAGAGTACAATGGGATCTTGATCAGATGGACCAGTGGGCCTAGGAGTGGCAGGTGGATTTTTTTTCAGATAAATGTGAGGTGCTGCATTTTGGAAAGGCACATCAGGGCAGGACTTATAGACTTAATGGTAAGGATTGTTGTGAGTAGAGATCTTACAGTGCAGCTTCATAGTTCTATGAAAGTGGAATCCCAGGTAGACAGGATAGTGAAGAAGTCATTTGGTATGCTTGCCTTTACTGGTCTGTGCATTTAGTACAGGAGTTGGGAGGTCATGTTGTGGCTGTACCTGGCATTGGTTAGGCTGCTTTTGAAATACTGCGTGCAATTCTGGCTATGGGAAGGATATTGTGAAACTTGAAAGGATTCAGAAAAGATTTCCAAGGATGTTGCCAGGGTTGGAGGGTTTGAGCTATAGGGAGAGCCTGAATAGGCTGATGCTATTTTCCCTGGAGTGTCAGAGGCAGAGGGGTGACCTTATCGGTGTTTATAAATTCATGGGGGCGTGAATAGGGTGAATAGCCAAGGTCTTTTCCCCAGCATGGGGGACTCCAAAACTAGAGGGCATAGATTTAAGGTGAGAGGCGAAAGGGACCTAAGGGGCATCTTTTTCATGCAGAGGTGGTGTGTGTATAGAATGGGCTGCCAGAGGAAGTGGTGGAGGCTGGTACAATGACAACATTTAAAAGACATCTGGATGGGTATATGAATAAGAAAGGTTTACATTGATATGGACCAAACGCTGGCAAATGGTACTAGATTAATTTAGGATCTCTGAGGTTTTGGACTCCAGTCTGAGTACTCACTCATGTCAATCCACATGGACAAGGAGAACCACCACTTCGACTGGGACAACACCAAGATCCTGGGACAGGCTAGGCAGAGATAGGCACGAGAATGCCTAGAAGCCTGGCACTCCACGAAGCATGCTATTAATAAACGCATTGGACTCGACCCCATATACACTCCACCACGAAGGAAACCCGCAAGTGAGGCAATCCATCTTGACGGACCCCAGAGTTTAAAAACCAGGTGGGAAAACACATCGACGTTTCATCGGAGGCTGCACTGAGAATGTTACCAAGCATGGTAACGAAACATCTGCGAAACAAGAAACCATCTCGGCGAGCCAACCAACTTCAACAACCTCAACTAATTTAGGATATCATAGTCAGCATGGGCAAGTTGGACCGTTGTGTCCATGCTGTACAGCTCTATGACTATAAATGGGAAGTTTCGTTGAGGATAAATTGAAGTTAGAATTTTTTTCTCCTTGGTGAAAAGAAGGCGAGGAGGAGATTTGATGGAGGTTTTCAAAATTATGGGTGGGCTGGATAGAGTAATGAGGAGAGCACTTCTCCTTATAAAAGGAATAAGAACACATGGGCATAGATTTGAAGTGACAAGCAAAAGAAGCAAGCATGATGTGAGAGAATTTTTCCACGTAATGAGTTAGGGTATGGAATGCACTTCCTGGAAACCTAGTCAGGCAGGTTCAGTTGAGGAATTTAGACGGTTTAGATGATTTTGTTTTTGAATAGGAATAATGTGCAAGGATAAGGGGACAAAAGCACGAGATTGTCACTAGGTAATGATGCTTGTTTGAAAAGCCTGTTCACGATCGATGGGCTGAATGGTTGGCTCCTGCACCATAACAATTATGTGATTCTGTGGAATGGGAAGGATGGTCTTGCTTTGCTGCAACTGATTAATTGTTATATTTGTGGTTGGGTCCCAGAAATATAAATTAGTCGCTCGGCTGAGACTCCTGTGCTTCTCTAAAAGATCTGAAGTGGAATTAAATTTATATTCCATTGCAAAAGCTAGTTTGATTTCATCTAATTCAACTACCAACAGCCATACAACTATGACAGATCATACTGATGCTAGTGTTTTTGGTTTGCAAGTTAAGATTCTTGATTCATGTTGGCTTTTTGTGATTGGCGCTTGGCAGCAGAATATTGGCAGACCAAAAGCATTTTTTATTTCATCCAGTTGGTTCAATATTCTGGGATTTGGTGTACGTGCCAAGTTGGAGGTGGACAGTAAGTTACATAAACCAACTAAAGAACAGCCTGATAATCCTGGACTCAAATTTGTAACTGACTTGTTTAGCAAAGTTATTTGAATACAAAGACTGTTGAATCGTAGAATCTTATTGTATGGCTCTTTGAAGGAGCTGAGCAATTTAATCCCACAGCCCACCTTTTCCTTGGAAAAGGCATCAAGTTAATCCTGTTCATAGTATCATAGATTCCTACTGCACGGAGACAGGCCCTTCAAACCAAACTGGTCCATGCCGACCAAAATGTCCATCCATGTTAACCCCATTTACCTGCACTTGGCCCATATCCTTCTAAACCTTTCCTATCCATGTATTCATCCAAATGCCTTTTAAATATGTATTCTTTCCCCTCTTACCTTAAACTGCTGCCCTTTAGTCCTCAATTTCCCAATCCGGGGAAAATGACTTAGTGCGTTCACCCTATCCATGCCTCTCGTGATTCCCCCTCAGTCTCCTACACTCGAAAGAAGAAAGTCCTAGCTCGTCCAACCTCTCCTTAAAACTCAGTCCCTTGAGTCCTGGCAACATACTTGTAAATCTCCTTTGCACTTTTTCCAGTTTAATAACATCCTTCCTATAGCAAGGTGACCAAAACTGAACACAATACTCCAAATGCAGCCTCACCAACATCCTGTGCAACTGCAGCATAACTTCCTAACTTCTGTACTCAAATACTGGTACGTGTTTGTTTACCTTTTGAACGTAATAAAAATATTGTAGTTAAAAACAAACTAGTTTCATAGAACATAGAATAGTACAGCACAGTATAAGCCCTTCGGCCCATGATGTCGTGCCAACCTATTATCCTACTAAGTTCAAACTACCCTGCATACCCTACATTATACCACCATCCATGTGCCTATTCAAGAGTCGCTTAAAAGTCTCTAAAGTATCTGACTCCACTACCACTGCCAGCAGTGCATTCCACCCGCCCACCGCTCTCTGTGTAAAGAACCTACCTCTGACATCTCCCCTAGACTTTCCTCCAATCACCTTAAATTATGCCCCCACGTAATAGACATTTCCACCCTGGGAAAAAGTCTCTGGCTATCCACTCTATCTTTTCTTCTCATCATCTTGTACATCTCTATCAAGTCACCTCTCATCATTCTTCGTTCCAAAGAGAAAAGCCGTAGCTCCCTCAACCTTTCCTCATAAGACCTGCCCTCCAGTCCAGGCAGCATCCTGGTAAATCTCCACTGCACCCTCTCTAAAGCTTCCACATCCTTCCTACAATGAGGCGACCAGAACTGAACACAATATTCCAAGTGTGGTCTAACCGGGCTTTTATAGAGCTGCAGCATAACCTCACGGCTTTTAAACTCAATTCCCCTGCCAATGAAAGCCAACACACCATATGCCTTCTTTACAACTCTATCAACTTGGGTAACAGCTTTGAGGGATCTATGGATGTGGACCCCAAGATCCCTTGGTTCCTCCACGCTGCCAAGAATCCTGCCATTAACCCTGTATTCTGCATTCAAATTTGACCTTCCAAAGTGAATTACTTCACACTTTTCTGGGTTGAATTCCATCTGCTGCTACTTTGCCCAGCCCTGCATCTTGTCAATGTCCCGTTGCAACCTACAACAGCCCTCCACGCTGTCCACAACTCCTCCAACCTTTGTGTCATCAGCAAACTTACTAACCCACCCTTCCACTTCCTCCAAGTCATTTATAAAGATCACAAACAGCAGAGGTCCCAGAACAGATCCTTGCAGAACACCGCTGGTCACCAAGCTCCAGGCTGAATACTTTCTATCTACTACTACCCTCTGTCTTCTATTGGATAGCCAGTTTTGTATCCAGACAGCCAAATTTCCCTGATTCCCATGCCGCCTCACTTTCTGAATGAGCCTACCATGGGGAACCTTATCAAATGCCTTGTTAAATGCCTTTACTTCCCTTCTGAGAAGTAAATCTATTGGCCTACATGTGACTCCAGACTCTCAGCTATATGATTAATTGTTAGCTGCCCTCTGATATGGCCTAGCAAGCAAATAATTTGTTCAAAACTCCAACACATCAAAAAATATTGAATGCAGCTGTATACCGGTCAACCACTGATACACTAGAAATTACAAGTCCACTACCCAGTCAACCCCGCAGAGTCCCCCTTACTAACACCTTGTGCCAAATTGGAGACCCCTCTCATAGACAAGCCTAGGCTGACTTGGTCAAAATCACACCACCTAGAATCTTTCATCACCGTTCACTAGCAGTGGCAGCATGTTATATAGGGTAAAGAGGGAATTACCCTGAAACTTCTGCATGAGATAGAAGATCTGCACTCTTGGCTTCATAAAGGCAAGTAGGGAATGGCAACAAGTGTCTTGCCAGCCTCCCACATTCTGCTTTCCATATGCTTAAAGTCACGTGAAACTCAATTGACAGTGTCTTACTCACACAAAGTACCATTCACCGTCACAACTGCTTTCTGATGTATAATGGCTCCTGATTAAACAATACCTCAATTTTAAAATTCTCATCCTTATTTTTAAATCTCTATGGCCTGTCCTTGTTATTTTTTGTAATCTCCATTATAACCTTCTTATACATCTACATGTCCTTGAATTCTGGGCAGTTTAGCATACCATTCTCAATCACTCTCCTGTTGGTGGCTGTCCCATAAAATTACTATTGCACCGTACTTTGGAATTCCCTCTCCACCCTGCCGCCTTTTTAAAATATTCTGAAAACCCACCTCTTTGAGCAAGTTTCTGGTTGTCTTGATATCTCCTCATGTGGCTCAATGTTATATTTTGTTATATAATGCTTCTGTGAAATCTGTTGCATGTTTCAATATGTGCAAATTGTAAATACAGTTTGGATTTGCTGCATATCTTCTATCAAAAACTTTCTATAATTTTAAACATTGTATTTGATTACCCTTCAACCTTCCGTTTGTCTTTTCCTGATATAAATAATCTCACTCTGGTATAATCCTTTTGCCGTTTAGAGTTAGGGAGATTGAGAACATTTGCAGCACAGAAAAAAATCTCCTTGGGGTCCATGGGGCTATCAAGCATGTATCTATTCTAATGCCATTTTATAGCACCTTGCCCATAGCCTTGTATGCTATGGTGTTTTAATTACTCCTCTAAATACTACTAAAATACCTTGAGGGCTCCTTTCTCTACCACTCTTTTAGGCATTTAATTCCAGATACACACCACCATCTGGGTGAAAACATTTTTCCACATCCTGTCTAAACCTGCTCCTTAAACAAAAACAGTGCCCCCGGTTATTGATCCCCGCTACTAAGAGAAAAAGGTTTTCCCTATCAGTGTCCTTTATATCTCAGTTAGGTCCCTCTGTCACTTTTCAAGATTTGATTCCATTTGCTATTGTGCAGCCCATTTGACCAGCTGGTCTATATTGTCCTGTAGTCAAAGGTTTTACTTCGCACAATTTAGCACACCACCGTGTAATCTGCAAATTTACTGATCATACCTCCCATATGTTTGTATCTTGTCAAGTGGCTGTATTTCTGTTTATGATGACCAGGACCATGTGCAATATTCAGGCTAACTAAGATTCGATGAAAGTTGGTTACAACTTCTCACCTTTTAAAAAAGATACAATTCGAAGTCAGTTGGCTCAGTTGACTGGATGGCTGGTTTGTGATGAAGAGTGAAGCCACCAGTGTGGGTTCAAATACTGCATCAGCTAAGATAATGATGAAGGACTCTCCTTCTCCACCTCTCCCCTCACCTGGACCCTCGTGATTAAAAAGTAGTCCTTGTTTAATGAAAAAGCAGCATATAGTCCAGTATGACTATGGCAACTTTACCTTTAGTATAACAGGGTTTCTTGATCTAGTGTCAATGGGTCCAGATTTATGTGCAGAGTATTTGAATATGTTCCAGGCTTGCATCATGTTCAAACTGTAGCCAAGTATATTCCTTGTATATTTGTGTGCAGTATATGTGAATTTTTTGTTAGTTTAATGTTCGGTTGCAGCAGAGATCAATACTAAAAAGACATATCTCGTGATTAGCTTCGAAGAACTTGACATGGAAGGCAAGATATAGTTGTTGATACTGAGTGTTTCTGTACTCGAGCATCCTGGTCAATTTTTTGAGCTTGAATTATGTTATCCTGATATGTAATTGACAACATTGCAGTGGCTCGGATATAAAAGGGCCTAGTTATAAAACATATTGATGTTTTAATTTTCTACAACATGGAACAGTCAAAAGAAAACTTGTAGCAATGTGTTCCAAATCTCAATTAGTCTGTTTAATATTATTTCTTCTTAAGGTTTTTGGGTGAGATGTGCTGGGGTAAACTTCAACTGTTTAACAATTATTAAAGATTTAATTCCTCTCAGCTATTTTTTCTTCCTCAAACAGGCAAGAGGCGCTTTAATATCAAGCTTTGGAAAACATTCACAGACTGCTTCAACTGTCTGCCAATTGCTGCTATTGTGGATGAGAAGATTTTCTGTTGTCATGGAGGTTAGTTTCTTTTTATCCATGCACACACAAGCTCAGCAGGTCTGGCAGCACTTGTGATGAGAAATCAAAGTTAACGTTTTGGCTACAGTGACCCTTCCTCAGAACTGATGGAAGCTAGGAAAATGCAGAAGATAGGGTGGTGGGGAGGAGGTAAGAGTAAATGATAGAGATAACAAGGTGTAGAGCTGAGTATATTTTCCTTTCTGAAGAAGGGTTTAGGCCTGAAACATCAGCCTTTCTGCTCCTCTGCTGCTTGGCCTGCTGTGTTCATCTAGCTCTACACCTTGTTATCTCAGATTCTCCAGCATCTGCAGTTCCTACTATCTCTGAACCAAGAGTAAATGATAGTTGGGGATTGAGCCCAAAGTGAGAGAACAGTTAGACAGACAAAGGAGTTGATAACTATCTGGCTGGAAGAGTGAATAGCTGTTAATGGAGACTGTTAGTGGCTAACAATGGGTTGTGTGTAATAGCAGACTGTGTGATAACAAGGCCTGGTGTGTGGGGGTGGGGCCTAAGACATAGGAGAGTTCAAACCCTAAAGTTGTTCAGTAAAATCCGAAAGAACTGCGGATGCTGTAAATCAGGAACAAAAACAAAGTTGCTGGAAAAGCTCAGCAGGTCTGGCAGCATCTGTGAAGGAAAAAACAGAGTTAACGTTTCGGGTCCGGTGACCCTTCCTCAGAACGGAGGTTTTTGTTCCTAAAGTTATTGAACTCGACACTTGACTCCAGAAGGCTGTAGGGTCCCCAAGCGGAAAATGAGAGGTTGTTCTTCCAGCTTATGCCGAGCTTTGATGGAGCACTGCAGCAGGCCTAAGACAGAGATATTGGTGAGGGAACAAGGTGGAGTGTTGAAGTGGCAGGCAACTGGAACTCAGGGTCATTTTTGTGGGCAGAATGTAGGCGTTCTGCAAAGCGGTCACCCAGTCTACGCTTTTTTCCCCAGTGTAGAGGAGACCACATTGTGAGCAGTGAATGCAGTAGACTAAATTGAGTGAAGTGCAGGTAAAGCACTGTTTCATCTGGAAGATATGTTTGGGGCCTTGCATACTGAGGAGGGAGGAAGTAAATGGGCAGGTGTTACACCTTTGGTGATTGCAGGGGAAGGTGCTGTGGACGGGTGTTCTGGAGGGAATGGTCCCTGTGGAAGGCTGATGGGAGGGGAGGGGGAATATGTGTCTTGTGGTGGCAACTTGCTAGAGGGGTGGAAATGGCGGCTAATGATCTTCTGGCTGAGGATGTTGGTGGGATGGTGGGTAAGGACAAGAGAACCCTATCGCTATTGTGGGAGGGAAGAGAGGGGGTGAGGGCCGAAGTGGGGGAGATGGGTCGGACCCGGTTGAGGGCAATGTCAATAATGGTACTGGGGAGTCATCGGCTGAGGAAGAAGGTCGACATTTCAGAGGCTCCCTCATTTCTTTTTATAGTTGCTTTTGCCACAGATGTTTAATTTCAGTCTTGCTTTGGGATGAATTATGATCATTTTAAATCATTCTAATCTCTTTTGGAAATGCATTTGTGGTAATGAAGATAAAAATGCATGAGTTGTTGAAAGACTTGATGTTTCCAGTGGTGTGCACTAAGCTAATTCTTTGGGAGCATAATGCATCTTTAAGACAAGGAAAGGCAATTCAATGTTTGGGATGCTGAATCCTTTAATAGAAACATCCCATTACAATTTCAACGTCCATACCCTTTTGTTTCTGCTACCATACTAAGCAGGTTATTCTAAATGTTACTGAAATGGTCAATTGGATTGTTTACGTTTTAAAAATGTGATATTCTCAGAAGCAATGAAAATGTAATGCACTAAAATTACACTTCAATTTACTTCCAAATAGGTTGTAACATTTAAAATTTGTTCAGTGACTGCATCTCAAATACTTGAAGAATTGAAAGTTCCATTAATATTTCAAAAGTGAATTATTTCTAAGAATGGTGAGGGAGTTTGGAAATCGTTCTTACTGAATAAACTGCATTGTAATAGGAAATGCTGTATGTATGTACATAGTTACCAGTCAGTCTATAATTTTAGCAGCCTTTTAAATTGTCACAACAGCATTTTATTTAGTTAACAACAGTTTCCTCTGTGTGCAGCTTGTTTTGTCCAGATGGAGTTGTATAAATAGGTTAATGTATTCAGGAATGAAATGGAACAGAGGGGTTGCTTAAATGAACAGTTATTGAGCGTGTTTGCTCGGCAAAACATTGAGCAACTTTAAGTCCTGCATGTACAAACAGCTTCACTGAGCAGCTATAACAGTGGCAACCAGATAGTCCAAAAACATCATTCATTTGTCTTTACCTATAGCCAAAGATCAGAAATGAATCTCTAGAATTTTGTTTTTGAACAAGTTGCCACGTGGAAATGAAGCATATAAAAATTGTGGGAGATGCCAGTAAAATTAAACATTTGCTCACTTCTGTTAGTTTTGAACAAGTTTTAATGCAGCCAGTGTATGGCTTTATCATTTCTAGCAAATGTAGAGCAATTATATCAAGTTGATAAAAGAAAAGAGATTTGGACTAAATAAACATTTCAGAGGGGTTGAGAGAAATGAAAAGAAGCAAAGAGCAAGTAGTATGTGAGGTGACCAGCAGCTAACATGAAATCCAAAAACCTTCTGTACTCATAATGTCTATAAAGGTACTGCAAGGAGAGTTGTGGTGAATAAGATATCAAAAAGGAGATCTCACACAGAGGCAGAAGATATGAGTATATTACACTCGCCCTTTCTTGGACGCTGCCCTAATTATAGTGGAAGCAGGATAGATAAAGAGAAACAGTGGATGTAATATATTTGGATTTTCAGAAGCTGCTTGATAAATTACCATCCTTTGGACAACTTAGTAAGATTGGAGACTGTATGTTAGCATGGACAGGCTAACTAATAGAAGGCAGAGAGTTAGGATGAGGGAGGTATTTTCAGGATGGCAACCTGTAACTAGTGGAATGGCACAGGGGTTAGTGCTGGGGTCACAATTATTTACAATATATATTAATGACTTGGAACAGCAAAGTGAATATAGTATAGTCAAATTTGTGGATAACATGAAAAATAGGTGGGAAAGTTGAGGCAAGCACTGAGGATGATATGAGGACTTTGCAGAGAGATGTAGATAGGGTTAAATGTGTGGACAAAAACTTGGCAGATGGAATATAATGTGGGAAAATGTGACATTATGTACTTTGGCAGAAAGAATAGAGGAGCTGAATATTATTTGAATTAGGAAAGACTGCAGAAAGCAACAGCACAGAGGGATTTGGGAGTCCTATAGGATAAAAGAGCAGGATAGATACAGGGGAACCAGAATGTGTAATATATTTGGATTTCCAAAAGGCGTTCTATGTAGTAATGCACATAAGGTTACTTAAGATATGAGACCTGATGTTGGGATAGTATAACCAAGGATAGAAAATTCCCTAACTAATAGAAAGCAAAATATTGGATACAAAGAACACTTACTTTCAGGCTGGTAACCCATGGAGTGGGATTAATGCTGGGACCGTATCTATTTATTATATATATTATATACATATGACTTGAATGAGGGAGGTAAATCTCCTATTTGACTCAAAAATAGGTGGTAAGGCAAATCGAGAGGATGACACTGTGTGCAGGGATCTGGACAGATCAAGTAAGTGGGCTATTTAAGACTAAGAAGAGATGAAGACCACAGAGGGCTGTGGAGGCTGGGTAATTAAGTATATCCCAGGCTGAGACGGACAGATTTTTTTAAATCAGCGATGGAATCAAAGATAATGAGGAAAACATAGTGTTAAGTTCCTAGAAGGACCAGGAGGCCAGAGTGTTAAATGGCAGATGTCACTGTTACATCTCTTAGACTCTTCAAGTGACAGTCCACCATGTTTTCACCAATGCACAACACACAGGAAAGTGGAAGTGAAGGTTATCAATTTATCCATGGTTTCATTGAATGGTAGAGCAGACGTGCTGGGCTGAATGGCCTACTCCTCCTCTTATGTCTTATTGTCTTAAAACTGGTCAATGAGCACAGACACCTATACTTGCCTGTTTCTTTTTGGACCGCCTGGTGGTCACCCATTCCCTATTTGTCTGGTTAATCCTAAACTGCAGAGTGACCATCTCCCTGTGCTGTCCACATAGTTTTCCCCCTCATGGATGGATCTGTGATTTTAGCCACTGCTGAAGTTCAAGAGCAGGGATCTCAAGCTTGTGTGGCCAGTGACAAATCGTGAACATTGCCTCTTCTAGGTAACGAGAAGTGTCCATGAGTCCCAGCATGCCACAGGAGGGGCATTCTGCTTGGTGAACTACCCATTGTGCCTTGACTTATACTTTATTTTCCCTAACTTTAATTATACAACTTAACTGAGCCTTTTACTTATTCATGGGATGTGGATTTAATTGGCTGGGCCAGCATTTATTGCTATTGGAATTATGGTATTGAGTTGCTGCCTTGAACTGCTGCAGCCCTTTTGGCATAGGTGCAAACACAATGCTGACAGGGAGGGAGTTCCAGGATTTTAACAAAATAACACTGAGGGAACAACAATATATTTCCAAGTCAGGATGATTAGTGAATTGGAGGAAAACATGCAGGTCCGAAGTGGAGATGTTTACCAACTGCACAGTGTCCTGTACCATTTGTGACACCTCAAGACACTGCAGCATTCAATGTCCAAATGTAGCAAGAACAAATTGCGAATGTACAAACAAGGAACAAGAGTAAGCCACTCAGCTCATTGACCCTGCTCTGCCATTCAATAAAGTTATGGCTGATCTGATTGTAATCTCAGCTTGCCATTCCTGCATACCGCCGATAATTTTTCTTCCCCTTGGTAATCAAGAATCTATCTACAACTGTCTAAAAAATATTTAAAGATTCTGCACCAACTACCTTTTGAGGAAGAGAATTCCAAAGACTTGCAACCCTCAGAATGTTGCTTCCTCATCTCTCTCTTAAATTACCCCTTATTTTTCAACTATAACACCTAGTTCTTGATTCTCCCAC